TTCCCACCTATGTAAGTCTATGTTCAAGCTCCTCTGTGGGCAATGGACTGCTGAAAAAAAAGGCCCGTTGTCACATGTTCCCATTTAAAATTACTGCCAAAACCCTCACCCAAGGGCAACAACTTTATAACAAATGTGACACTTAAATCGTGCTTAATACTTGCTGTTATGGGGAGGGGGTGTTTGAATGACCTTGCCAAGTTAAACTACTCAATTAAAAAAAAAAAGATCTGTTAGTAGAATATTAAAGTGTTTCTCTCCTAATTGCTCATTTAAATCCAACATGGATGCACAGCAACAGCAAATCCTTCCGAGCTGGCGGCTCTTCGTTACTTGGTGAGTTTATTAGTGCCTGGAGAAAAGGGATTCAGATGCAGAAAGCTGCGAAGGACAGTTTCCAGGTTCGGAGGGATCATGAGAATATCCTTCTTGGAAACAACCCCATCCCACCCCTCAACCCCTGCTCCACGAGGGCTTCTTAGCATTCTGCTTGAAGGGTGTTTGAGGTATGTTTTAGCCACTTGGCCTGGTTACTCCCTGGTTATCCTCCTACTGACGGGTTTTGCTTCACAACAGCATTTCTCTGGAGCAGCAGCTTTAGCAAGAGTTAGGGCTCAGAAAGCAGACACTTCACCTGACATAGCTACTCAAGTTCATGGGACAAGGACTCTACTTTCAATATCAAGCATATCCATATAAAATAAACCATGTTTTATTATCCTGATTGGGAAGGCTGGGCTATGAATATTAATAACAATAGTGGGGAGGTGGAAAAAGGCAATGGATGCCCACCTGCACGGGATGCAGGGCACCATCCCAGGGCATCGGTAGGAAAATTGCTCGTTTCCATGCAGGCCGAGCACTTTTCAAAGTGGTGTTGATATGCTGCTGCGAGGGCTGATGGGCAGGGGCAATGGGGCTGGTGGGGGAACTGGGACACCAGGGTTGGGTTAGGCAGTAATCCGATGGGCCATCAGGACACGGGCAGGGCAAGGAGGCATTCAAACCATTCGGATCTGCCTGATAAGAAGTCTTCATTTTGGTTTTGTCTCTAAAAATAACCAATTTTTCCTTATTTTTGTCTGTATTTGGTGTAATCAGATCACTCCCACCACCAAAGCTCATTTCCTGCTGTTGGGTACATTGAAGCTGTTATTATTTATTTTTCCACGGGCCTCTCTGTTTCTAATTACTTCGTACTGGTGTTTTGTGAATATGTTGAATCTGTGCCTCCTTTAATACCTGCCACATGCTGGGTCTATTGTGTATATTAGTATCCCAACACATTTTTCAGATATTTCCTGCTATTATTTACCTCTATTTCTGATCTTACTACTTTTGGGCTTATGATAAAGCTGTTTTCTGATGGGGCTATAGGCCAGAAGGGCACGTGGATAGAAAGCATATGGATAAGAAAGGCCATTTAGAAGTAATTTTTACTAGTGATGGTTACAATTTGTGAAATCCTGTGGGTTTTATTGTTCTTTTTGTTTTAATGGAAGGCAGTGAGAGTTTTGCTGCAGTAGAGGTGATAGAGACTGATGGTGCAGAAATAAAATTTCTTTGTATGCTTACACATAAATACTCTATGTGGTGCTGCTACTGCTGCTCTGGCAACAGCCACGTAGCTCTTGTGCTTATAAATCTCTGCTCTTTTTTTTTATTTGCCAGACATTGAAATTTTCCACGTGTGGGAGGTTTCTCATAAACTGATTTTATTTGGAAGAGCACAGCAAAAACACTTTTTGAGAAATGAAGAGGAGACACATTTATTGAGGAATTAAAAGGGGGAGAAAATATATGTGTGTGTGTGTACACATATATATAATTTTGGCTGTATTTAAGCCTTGTAAGAGTTACAATGCCATTACCCTTCTGAGCCCCGAGCTCGCAGGCACTGGCCCTGGCCCAGGGCAAAGTGATGCTCCCGAAGCTCTCACTCCTGTTGGATTGTGTCCTTATCCCTTCCGGAAATCCTAAAGCACCCTGAGCATCGCCTGAGACCTCAGCACGTTACCAAGGAGCCACGGGTCACCTGCGAAGTTTTCAGGCTGGGGGTGCATTATTTTTCCCAGCAGCTTCATGGTCCAGCTGATGCAGGAGCACGCATTTGCAGCTCTGAGGAGCGTCCATCCCTCCCTCGGGCAGGGCTTTTCTGGGCTCTTATCCAGCACTAAATATGGAAAATTCCAACAGTCGATCCCGTCTGTCTTCAAGCCGTCCGAGCTCTTTTAACTTCCAAAACAAAGCTGAACGAAACTGGTTATTTTACAGCAGATTCTAGTTGGAAGAAAACAATTGGTAGGCCGGGTCCTCCAATGAAGCTACCTGGCAGCTCCAGGCACAGCAGAGCTGCCATCTCAACAAGTTAGACCCCACCAAATATCAGACACTGACCTGTGGCTTTTAAAAAAGCTCACTTTGATTCTAATCTAGATCATTTGCATTAATTACCGTATGCAAACAATAAGAGGCTGTCTCCTGCCTACCACCTGCATTGCACCTGGCCCTTTCAGCTGTGAAATATATGAAATTATGAAAGAATCACCATTTTTCTGAAGCTTTGTCTGAGGTTGGCTTCTTATCTGCGCACTCCAGCTATTTTTGTCCATGAAACTTTAACAGCCAACAACCGTAAACACTCCGTTTAAATTTAAAATCCCCTCTCTGTGATTTCTATGCATAAAACACATGTATGCACCCCGACTGATTCCACTGACCCAACGAAGCTCGTGGCTGTAACAGCCCGCTCGCTGCGAGGTGCAGGGCTGGAGGGGAGGCGCTGGGTACGGCGTGCAGAGCCTAGGCAGCAACATGGGGGTAAAACAAAACAGTCTGGCTGCTATCTAAAGGAAGGAAAATTTCCTAAATGTATTAAGCACTCTAGAGCCGCACTTATTGTACTAGCAGAAACACAGAATTTTAATCTTTCAAAGTTCACTACGTTTTCAAGTATCAGGGGAAAGGAATTCCTAGACTCCGTCCTCATTGCAGTGAAGTAACACAACTCACATGAGCACTTTGGCAGTTTTCCTTCAAACCCAGCTATGAAATAAGTTGCTTTTCTTGAAATCCCAGGCCTTGTTTTCCTGTCTTTTGACTGATGACAATCTGTACCTGCTAGGCTGTACGACCACACGTGGAGCTGCCAGCCTGCTTTAAAAGGAACTATATAACAAGGTGGCATGATCCTATTAGCTCTGATCGTGTTTGTGCTTGTTCCACTTGATCAGAAGTTTTTTTGTATCAGTCTACTGTAAAGGATGTACTGTCCCACGAAAGCACAACTCTGAAAACACAGGTGGGGACGTGTTTTGAAATACAACTGTTAGTCGTGCCCCTCTCTGCTTAACTTAGTGCAGCAAAGAACAGACCAGAGGTTTTCAAATATTTGCATCTTTACCATGAAAAACAATGTTGCTTGTTCAAGGCAGCATAAATTACCAATATTGTAACTACTTAAAAAAAGTATCAGCAATCTTTTTTTTTCCAGAAAGACGACAGCCACCTTTAATTGTTGGTTCGAAACTGCCCAATTTTTCTTGAATAGGAAATTCCAAGGCAGCACTTTGGCATTACCCGGCACCTTAGATCAGGGGGCAGGACTGCAGGTGTTGAAAGTTATTTCCACAGCAGCATAGAAAGCTCAACGTACAGGAGCCAGGAAACAATCCTTAGCCTTGCAGCCAGTTACGCACGCTGCTCTCTTCCTTTTGCTTGTTTTGAAACAGCAAAACCCAACAAATCAACAAGGCAGCAGTTACACAAGTAGCTGTTGTTCCACCACTGCATCCCAGCATCTCCCTGGGCCACCCTTCAGGAACAGCTGCTGGAGCAAATTGAAAAATGACAAATGAGACCCCAAGGCTGCTGACAGCTTCTCCCCTTCTGTACTTTTCATTTAGATTTCGGGAGCACAAGCAGGTGTCACGCGACTGTTAACATACTGATTCGTGCTTTGGTAAATTCTCTAGTCTCTGAGGGGTTTGCCAGCAAAAACAATGCTGAAATAACAGAAAAATCAACAGGAAATCAAAAATTTCATAGGCACACTTCAGCCTGAACTAGCAGATCTGTTCAAGCCCAAAATCCAATATCACAGCCTACACGTATCCCTGTTTGATGATATTAAACATGGCATTGCTGATTCCAGAGTTGCACTGGAACCTAAGAGTCAATACTCTAATTAACCACACATTAATTGTACGACCAGTTTGGCAGAACACAGTACTGAAATGCACACGCACGCAATAGTGACTGCAACGCCAGGCTCACAAATAATAGAGAATGCTAATCGCATTTCTCTTCATATTAACATGAATAAAACCCTAGTTTCCAGGATTTGGAGTGCTTTGAGTCCAAACAAAGCATCAGTCACTTGTACTAGGATTAAAGAAATAATCCCAAAAGTCAAATTTAAGAACCATAAATTACACCATAACAGAAGTAGGATGGACTTAATAGGACTCAATTATTAAGGACGTTAAAGCACATCTCATTGCTTGCTTTTTTAAATTGTTTTAGCTAGATGCTGGGGCAGCGAGATTCACCTCTACCTCCTTAGATGTCAAATTTAAGTCTGGGTAACAAATCTTTATTTGTTATGCTCCAGTTTGACTTGTGTGGTTATACACAGGAATACTACAATCGTTTAGTGATTTAGATGAATCACATAGAAAATATTTTAAAATGTCTGGCTTCCAACTAAAAGTAAACTTTTATTAAATATTGCATCATCAGCTCCACAACAATTAGTAGAAGGAGCTCACACTTTTAGTCACAAAAAGCTCTAGATTATTTGTACCAATATGATTAAACACTGATGTAACTGTCCTACATCCGTACTGGGCATAGGGCTGAGCTGTTTTCTACTTGGACTTTCAGTGATGGCACGTTGAACAGCTGTCATCTCCAGCAATGCAAGGGAAACTGCAGACCAAACGATCCTCTGTGGTGGTTTTTAATTAGAAATTAAGCAAAAGGCTAGAAAACTAACCACGCTCTGTCAAACAGAGTACAAAATCTTTATTCACCAATAAGTTAAGTGTTCTTATAAATAGATGTTCTAGTCTTTTGTACACTGTATTGATTATAAAGCTACACTCCAGTTATTCCTCTGACTCTGATCCTTCTTCATCTTGACTGATTTGGAAGTAGCGTAGTTCGTACGTCTCCTTGTCAGATGCAACGACACGGAGCCAGTCACGCAGATTGTTCTTCTTGAGGTACTTCTTTGTGAGGTATTTTAGGTACCTTAAAAGCAGTAATTCTACATCAGAACTTTATCATTTAACAACCCTTCCTGCTGTCTGCACTCCACCCAAGACACAGCTTTGGCAGGGCAACACCACACTGGTTATACCCGGAAATAAAAAATTATCATATATAACAGATAATAAAAGTATATTTTCTTTCCAAATATGTAAGAAATTATTATTTGATGCTTTTTGACAACATAGCACAACACCAGTAACTCAAAAGCATTGGAAAGCAGCTCTAAACCTTGGTCTATCACAACAGATACTGGTGCACCAGTTGTCAGCCAAGGGTGGGGATGCAGGGAGGGAACTGCACCTCTAACCAGCACACCCAGCTGCTGCATGCCTTAACATACTAAGCAGTTTATGGCTTCATTTGACTTAATGGGCTCTTTTGCAACAACACATACTGCATACGCATACCTTTTAACACAACCAATTAAGCAGCAGAACAGCCACCCAGGACATGAATGCAGTATGCCTTTTAAAAGCATCTCTTTCCCCCACATACTTCTAACAACTTATACAAAACATCTCTGTATTGCTACGCTTACGCTAGAGGGAGCATTAATCTGCCTTTGAGTCCTGTGTTTTAAAAAGCAGGTTTTTAAAAATCCAGTATTATAGATTTGACTTACATCTTTGACTAATATTTCCAAGTGCTAAGATTCTCAGCACTAACACCTTCTCTGTACACATCAGAAGTGCATCATGCTCAACGTACCGCTGCTCAAAATCCACTATCACCAATACAAGAAAAGGAAACCTATGCCAACCTTTTAGAAAATTGCTTCTCGGATGTCACTGTGATCTTGTTCTTCAGACGTTCAATGTGAACGGTGTTGCCCAAGTTTCCAGTTTTTCCATTGACCTTAACCTTCTCCTTTAGGAACTGCTCCTGGTTCAACATTAAAGAAATAGAACACTAGGGAATGGCACCCTAGGTATGAACTAGGGAAGGGACCCTAGCCAAGCAGCAATATTAAAAATCACCGTTTACTTACGTCCTGACAGCAAATATTTACAATGCAGTAAGATTTTACAGCGTTTAATAAAGAAAAAAAGGCACCCTCGTGCTAAAACAGGATTCGATTTAAAACAGTTCTATTCATGGATAGGTATGAACCATCTTGTCTATAAAAGACATCTAAACCCAAGAAACTTCCAAAAAGCGCCAGTAATTTAACGAACAGCTGTTGATTTTACTAGCTTAAAACGTAACTTTTCAGTTGTAATTCAGCTGTCATGCTGTACTAAGGCTGCTATTATACTGTACATGAGAAGTATGAGCAAAAACCACGACTTACAAAATTCCCAGAATCAAAAATTCCATCTTCCACAGGATGGGTCAAGTCAAGGCAAAACTTCCAGGTTGACTTTTTAGATTTTCTATCCTTTTGCTAAAACACACACAAAAAAACCAACGTTAATAATACCCGAAAAGCTTTCATTAGAGCTAAGAGGGACACAGCAGAAGGCGTCTCCAGGGCGGCGAGCGCCGGCCCCGGCC